AAGGGAAATTTCTTGTTGAAGTGAAAGGGTCACAGATGTATACACATACAATCAGGTTATTTACTCTTCCATGACAAGTATGTATAAAAATAATATATTTTTGCCAACTTTCTTTTCTGGATTAGATGTGTCAACTTCTGATAGTGGTCTAGGCAAAGATGCCTGTGATTCTGAGGCAAGAGTTTCTGCTCCAACACTGCCTTTTGTGCCCCAGTCACACCTCATTGACAAGTTGCCAGTTCCAGCATCAAATGGTTTACACTACTCTCCTGGACTCCTAGCAGCCAGTAACCTTTCTCAGTTGGCAGAGTTAGCTGCTAATAAGTCTGCTATACATCAAACTCCACCAAACACCACCCAGCTACCTGCACAGCCCATGCAACCACACCTCATTGGAAACCAAACTAGATTTGTCCTTCCTGGACAGGGAATACCTACTCCTATCATTGGGACATATCCCTCAGGAACTTTGATGCAAGTACCAGGACAATATCAGGGATTTCCCCCTGTCCCTCATCAGGTGCCTCCACCATTCATTAAAGGTTCCAACATTCAGCTTACTACTGGTGATGTAAAGAGAGTTGAAGACCTTTCCACAGAAGATTTCATTCACAGTATCAGACAGAGTCCTGAACTTAAGCTAGAGACAAGCACTGTTGTAAAAATTGAAGATGGAACAGAACCTGGAAGCACTCATATTACTTTCACTATCAACAGTTCTAAAATACAGGTAGAAAGAAATAGTGATATGAAATTTGCGGTACAAAACTGCTCTTAGAAGGTCCAATCTAGTTTTAGATGAGTTTCGGTATTTCTGAAAAATTATTTTTATGTACATCACAAAAGGTTCATAATTTTCCACTTCTAACTTGATGCATTTAGAAGGTTTTGCCTGAATATCTTAAGTGAAAACTTGAACCTTAGTTTCTACACAGTCCTTTTATGTTCACTTAGATCACCATCCATGTTGCAAACTAAGAAAAAAAGTAGTGGGAGATTTAGGGAATGTGTGCGCGGTAACTGTTACAAGAAGAGACTGTGGACAGATTGCCACTGTTTTACACAGAAACATGGTGGCTTAAACGCACCACTTTTTACCTATTATCATATAATTATTAGAGCCATGCTGTACCTATGTACCCTTCCTAGACAATTCTGTGCAATAATCTGATTCATGAGCACTCCTAAGTGTGTGGTCATGAACAAACCTGATCAACGTGTAAAACTGATCAGTTATATGATGCCTTTTTTTTTAAGGTGATTCTAAACTGTCCTGTAGAGCATCCATTTTTCGTTTATGGTCAGGGGTGGACATCAAGCAGTCCAGAACAGTCCTCAACCAAGTACAACCTTAACTGCCAGCAGTTGAAAGTTGGTGATGTGTGTATTTTTCTCTCTGCATCCAGTGCCCCTAGTATTCCTGGTGGGCTTGGATTTTCAAGTTCACCAGCCATTCAAGTGAGTGGAGCTGGTTCTACTCTAACACAATCTGCTTCAGTAGTCTTGTCAAGTGCAGTGAAGTCTCCATCTGTGAGTAGCAGCACGGGACAAACAGTGACTTCTGTGTCAGTGTCGTATGCCCAGACATTGCCTGGAATTGTAACCTTACCAGGAAACATACCTGGGGTTGTTGTTACTTCATCGATGCCACCTGGCATTCCTGCAGTGTACCCAGGAAGTTTTCCCTCAGCCCAAAATATTGGCCAGGGGAAGGTTGCTGGACAGAGTGGAACTGACAGGTCATCTGTTCCACAGCCAGTACAGGGGTTCACACCTGATGGAAAACCATCAGAATCTCCACATTCCACTGCAGCAGTACCAGGAGGTTTTCCTTTGTCTGGGGCACCTTTCTACCAACCTCTTACTGGAACATTTATGACGGCTATGCCTCCAGGACAAACATTTGTGCAAGGAACTGTTATGCCACAGGGTTCTGTGGGAAATGGTCTGCTTGTTGCTGCAGTTGGTTTTGTACCAGGGAGACCACCAGCACCATTTGTTCAACCTGGAATGCTCTATGGCTCCACACCAATGGAAATGCTACAAAAAGGAGGCGACAGCAAACCAGAAGAATATTCACAAAAGGAAAGGACTGACTCACAAACTGAATTGTCACAACCTGATGCCAAGAGGGCAAGAGGAGAAACAGAAGTAAAATAGACCTTTAATTTGTGAGTGTTTTTATAGATAAGAGAAAATCAAGGGGACTGAAAAAGAGATATTGTTATATAAATGTATATTATATATATATAAGAAAAATGTCTTATAACTTTTATTTATTTGTAGGTAAGACAAAAATCTGAAGTTGTCTTAAGTCATACCAACCATTAACGAGGATAGTAACATTTTGTGTTTTCTTAGCAAAGAAGTGTCCTGTATTAAATCTTGTAAATGTTGTGTTCAATCTTGCTGTAAGCACCTATTCTCCACTATGATTTGAAATGGCTTTACAGTATAATTGATTTAGTTCAGTGGAGTAAACACAATCTGAGGTACTTGTAAGTATCATAAGGATTATTTATAAAAAACACTTAATAGTTAAAAAACCTTCATCCAATCTTACTGTGGTCATTTGAATCATTTTATTTTAAAAAAAAAGTAATTTTTTTCTTTTTATTTGGTATTGTTTTCTTTTTATTTGATATTGTTATGCTATTTACTATTTTTCAGTCAGAGACCTTACAAATAAGTAATGATAAGTGTCACACAAAGTTTAGACCTCAAAGTGGGTCATTCCTGAAAAAATATTTGCCAACTCTTAATGGTTAAATTTCAACACAAAGTAGCAGAAAACTCTCTCTGATTGGTGTGATACTTGGAATTTCTTCAAGCAAGGAACCTTATCAAACTACTGTAGCTGGATTAGCTATTAACAATTGATGATACAACTAGTAACAATTACAACTAATTAAGTGTGAAACACAGTACTAAACAGGAGTGGTAGCCTGGCAGAACTGCCAACATCAAGTTACGGACACCAAATTGCAGAATACTTTGAAGAACATTTTATTAAGAACTTGACAGATATCTAATATTGAGGTTTGAGGGAATGTTGTGAATTCAGAATTATGTCTATCCAAAACATATTTTGAAAGAGTTTCATCTAACCACACATGAAGAGCAGAGTAAGTTGAGGGGTCAATTACAGTGATGTTTGATAGGGTGTAAGTAGTGTCAGTGATAGGGCCAGTTCAAGCTCAAATGAATATCGATAGATGCATCATAGCTTTGCCCTAAGAAGGACCTTTGAGGGCTTGTCTGTTTGCAACTTGGGTGTCTAGCTCTCAAATGCTGTTGTGCAACCAAAGTTATGAAGGTTGCACAGGGACTGGAGTTGGTGGCATGTGGCTCTTGGGCTCTGCTGGACCACTTCTTTGATACAAATATTCTTAAAGTTAGTGGGAAGTGTAAGCTACAAGCCATGGTTGAGATTGCTTTTTGAGTCTGATTGTTTGAGAGGATGCCAGACTTAGGAAGAGTGCAACTCCAGATTATACTCAATAATCATCAATTGAAAATGTTCCTGTTTATTTATTTATTTTAGGATAAGTGTTAATGAGACAGTTTTAAAATAGTAAATGATTACTAAGTTATTAACTTACTGATGGTAATTGTGTTTGATATGATTTTGTAAGTTTGGGTTTCGTAAATGTGCTAGCAAGAACTAAAATATGTTATGGTTAACTTATTTCTTGCAAGCATGTCTTTGAAGAAATGTATGTTGAAATTTTTAAAATCATTTTAAGGTTTTAACTTTTGCTCTCAAACAGATTTTATCACTTTCTTGTTAAAGACACGTTAACAAGTACAACACAACACTAACAACTGACATGACTATCACTTCAGGTCTCTTCACTCAAAGTGAAACCAACACATTAGTATTTCAGTTTTGTTTTAAACCTATTGAACTGTAATGTAGCTAAGGTTTTTTTTAAGTGGTGTTTTGATTGCTAATATTAAAAGCATGTTCTTTACAGTAATATTCTTTTCATCAAGAATTGAAAGTTTGTAATGTTGATTTAGTAGAAAGCCCCATTTTATTCGCTATATGTTTTCCAACTTAATGGTGATGCAATTTTTTTGGTTGCTCAGCATGTATAAACCATGCCATGACCAATCCAACTCTTGTCACTCATTGGGAAAGAAAGGCTAACTTCCAAACCTGGTTGCATAGGATTTTCACACTCAGAGTTTGTCTGTTTAAAGTGAGTCTTAAAGGCACTAGGACTTAGATTGTGCTGTAAGGAAAAATTGAGTCGAATTGTTGTTCAAGTTGACTTTACATGCACAACATATCGGGGAGATAATATACCTTACTGAATTTTAACTCATAATGTACATCCTCAACTGAAATTATTTGTACACTACCAACTGAAGGGAAACAGCTATAGGCTTGATTTCAGCTCATTCCTCTTCACTTCTTTCTGAGGTATCCCTGGGAAGGAAGAGGAATGTGGAGTCATTGCTAGAACAGAGGCTGGTATTGACAATGACTAGTTCAAAATGGGGGTTTTTTCTAAAGTTTTGCATTTAGCCAAACAGTTGGATTGTGGGTGCAAGGGAGGTGGTGCAAATATGAAGGATGCAATACTGTTTAATCACCAGAAGTGGACAGCAGTCAGTCAGACAACATACGTAAATGGGTTTTGGCAGGCTGCCCAGCAAATTTCCCACCTTAAGATCGGGCAATGTGTGGAAAAAGAAAAAACCACCACACAAATGAGTTTAGGTGCTCATAAACATCTGCATAAGGAAGAAAAAGTTGGGAAAAGGAAAGCCTATGAATCTCTGGTGAAGTTTATTTAATCATAGGTGTTCTGTTCATTTAGTATTTTGTCTTGAAGTGTAGGATGTAGGTCTTACAAGAGGTTGTTTATAATTCCCGTTTAGGAAGTTTGGTTGTGTCAGATTGAAAGCACTATTAAACTGCCTCTCAATGGTTTCAGCGCTCACACATTGTATCTGCCCACTGTGTTTTTTTCAAATCACTAAACCCTTGGTGATTAAAAATTGAAGGTTATCATTGTTTCTTTAGGAATGCCTTTATTGAACTCCACTGTCATTACAAATTAATGCAAAAAATATTCTAATAACTAAGTACTTCATATTGGAGTGTATTACCTTCAAATACTTCTACATATCTTAGTACCATTTTTGTTTCATGAATGTGATAACAGGTCCATATCTCAGTATCAGAACTTTTAAGAAATAATCCTTTAGCTATGCCTTCTGAATTTGTTCCATGGTCACAAACCAGTGGTTCACAAGTATAGGATGGGTGCAAACCTTGTCAAAAATGTTTCACCATAAGAAAGATTGGAGTGAACCTCTGAAACACTCATGCTGATTAGGGAATTAGAAGCAACACATTTAACGTGGCTACCTAAAAGTACAATCAACAAATTACAAAACATTTGTTTTAGAGCTAGGACTAACACCTTCAACCCATTACACCCACAAATCAGTATGCATACTGTTTTTTCCTGTTCTTCTGACAAGTAGAATTTGTTTCAGGATATTCTCCTCCTCACAACTTTAGTATTTGATTCAGCAGTGATATTGTAGGAAGAAATTAGATACTAGTCACCCTTAGAGATGAAAGGGCTATTCTTTCATACTGTTGTCTGCACATCCTTAGAGTTTATTCCTCTAAATCTATTATTTAGTTTGACTTTTCTTTGAAGCCTGGTTTCACTTATAAATAAATTATTAAAACATTGTGTTATGTCTCCATATCAAGCATAGTATCAAGCAAGATTGTTTTTCATCACGAATCACTGCCTGATCTCTGATTTTCCCACATACATACAAATACATGCACAAAGAAGGAAAATATAAAAAAAATATATAGTAATTAACAGTAACTTTAAACACCTTGCATCTAGTTCAAATTACCATTTTAACAAAAATTCTCATAAATTTTCTTCTACAGAAAATCATTTACAGTCTAGTAATATGGAAGTAAACCTCCATTGAAGGTAAAATGAACAATAGACTTCAAAGAAGACTTAATTGCCTTCTCAAGGTTTCTCTTAATTACTATGAGAAGACATTGTTCAGTTGCATGGTAACACGTATGAATGTAGTCCTTCTTGGAAGCTCTTTTAGCTTCTCAGCTCCAACATATGTGCATGTTGACCTCACACCACCAAGAATGTCTTTGACTGTGTCATGAACATTGCCACGGTAAGGAACCTCAACTGTCTTTCCTTCTGAGGATCTGCAAGGTAAGTTAAAAACCAAGCATTTCCTCTGAATCTGAATAAATAGCTGGAAATATTTCCTTAACCCTTTAACTCCCAAGATCTCACTAGTAATTCTCCTTACTGTCTGCCATACAGTTCTTGTGATGTTAGTTTGCAGAATTTGGTATTAGATGAACTTATGATCCCCTTATTGATATTTTTCTTTATTCTCATTACTTGTCTGCTTGATATTGTATACTTATTGTCAGGAGAAATTATGTCTTGGTCACTCATGGGAGTTAAAGGGTTAACATGTGAGCCCACTAAAGGGCCAAACAAATAAAGATGTTCCTATGATTCAGTTAAGTGGAGTATCAGAAGCTCAGAGGATTAACTCCCTTCCTATATTCTTATAAGTGGCACATATTTGACATTTTTCCTTTTTAAAGACTACACAAAAATTGACCATTGTTGTGTCTATCCATACACTCAATATCTAGCAAACCAACAACTCAGTTGATCAAGTGGCCAACCACAAAAATAAGATAGTCAGTTCAAGGTTCATATCCTTGTGGCCTTTCAGATTGTTTGTGTGCCACTCTCATGACAAATGTTTCAGTGCGTTTTTGATTAATATTTCCTTGTGTTAAATAAAACTTATGGAGAGAGTTTGCCATGACAGGGTTCTTTTTTACTTCAGCACCAGGGTAAAACCTTGCATCACTGACAAAGAGCAAGAACAGTATTTACATCAACAGTTATGTCGACTGATGATTTTGAGCCTACAAAAACATATCTCTGCCCCAGGAACATAAAATTTTCAGTCAAAGAAATTAACAAAATAATACATTATCAATAAATCTATTAATTAAATATGTGACACTACAGTATCACTCTTCCACATCAAGAAACTAGGCTTCAGCACACACATTCATTGGCTAGTAACACACTCTTTCAGATTATTAGACCTGATAGGATGATTAGTGTGACAAGGCAAAATGGCTACTTATTTTAGAATAATATTTAACCAATGTCATTCTTTCTCAAAGACAAATATTTTCAGGCAAAAGAGTAGCAAGTGTATATGAGGTGCTTTGACACAACAAACTCACCGGTAGTTGGCCACCCCTCCTGCATGTTTTTTCATTGCAGTTGTTGAACTCATGCCATAAAATATTTTGTACTGCTTTCCATCCCTTTCAATCAATTCTCCACCTGATGAATAAGACATTTTTGCAAATGCAAGAAATTATCAACCTCTCAGAAGTTAATCAGTGGTTGTTAAGTTTTTATCCAACAGTAAAAATGAGTTATCCTTACAATGATTCTGTCAAAAAATGTCAAGAATTGCTGGCTTTAAAGTGCCACACCAAGTCTTAGTGCAAAAAAATAATAGACGTTCATAAGTCAATCAACGAAATAGTTGTTGAAAATGTTGCTGTATATTTAAGACTGTCATTTGTAAATGAAAGTAAGGATCATGCTTTACTTACCAGACTGATCATGGCCAGCAAACATGCCTCCCATCATGACAAAATCTGCACCAGCACCTGAGGTCACAAATGAAACAATGTTATGAAACATGCAGGTTCCATGTAATAAGTGTATGAAAATAAGAATTTGCTCCAAAACAAGTTGTTAATTTCTTGTTTGGAAAGGAGTGGGGAGTTAAGTGCATGAATCATGTAATTTTTTTCTCAAAATAATGTTGAAAAACCATTTACCAAAAGCTTTTGAGACATCACCGGGACATGTACAGCCTCCATCCTGAAAAAAAAAAAATCAAAAAAGAGAAAAAAAAAAAAAAAAAATTTTTTTTGAACAATTAAATAAAGCCCACAAGGTATTCGTAAGGAAAAGGCATCACTGATCAGAAAATTCTCCATCTAAATTTTGATTGTGTAAGCTACTTTTGAATCGGGCTTGAACAACATTCTCACCTCACCAAAACTATTCTCCCTCAACAATATATATTCATGGACAACTAGAGTCCATGTGTAGCAATCATTACCAACTTCTTGCCTAATGGCTTGCATTGCAGAGTATTATTTCCAATAAGGTCTTAAACAGAGACAGACAAGCACTTAACACTTAAACAAATGCCAGAAACAAGAAATCTTTGTGAGAATCAGGTTTCTCCACAAGGAGATTCTGTAACATGCTGTGGATAAAATTTCCTCCACAACAAAAATTCTGCCTTCAACTGAAAAGGGTTAGCAGGTATATTAATTAAAAAATACACCAAAAAAGTGAACATACAGAGATGATGTGTCCTTTAAGGCCATGTGCAGCATCAGCACATTCTAAAACTGCACTTAGCTGAGGGTATCCTACACCAGTCTGCCTTCGTGTAGTGCAAACAGAGCCTGTGACAAAATAGTCAGATAAAGTGTCAATTACCTAAATTCTTTCAAATATTCTGCTAGGCAACAGTTCAAAGTCTCATGGAAGACTGGTAAGGCCGTGAGTTTTTTTTTTCTTTTTCTGTTTCAGTAATCATAAATTCAAACATAGGGCTACTACATGACAGAAATCACCAATACATTTTCTGCAGCTCTGGTCAGGGGACATCAAACCTTGAACTCCATTCATAGAGTCTGATTACAGAACTGATTTCTAGTTTTTCTAGCTGAAGACAACAAAAGATGAATGTCTCGTTATATCGTACTAACCAGGTCCAATGCCAACCTTGACGATGTCAGCTCCATTGAGAATTAACTGTTCAACCATTTCACCAGTCACAACATTTCCTGCCTAATGGTACAATAAAATGGTACCAAGAGATTCCAGTTGTTATTTCCTATATATAATTGCAGGATGGTTGAGAAGATATCTCAATGACCAGTTTTTCTAGTACAGTGGGTCATTTCTGAGATGCCTGAAGCATCTACTTTAAAATGAGGCAACATGCTTTATCTACTTCACACTACATCTCACTTTCTTACAGTCTCAGGTAACAAGATTCTACTATTAAATATAAAACATTATTCACATTACCTACCATAATGATGTGGTCTGGAAAGTGGCTTCTTACAGTTTTAACAAATTCCACAAAATGTTCAGAATAGCCATTGGCAACATCAAGACAAATTGCTGGTATATCTGGGACAGCTTCCAGAACCTGCTTTAACTTTGATAAATCTTCATCAGACATTCCACAACTCGCAATTGTATACTGAAAAGTAAACAAGCAAACAACTTGAAGTATGATTATTGGAAATCCAGTCATCAAAATAACCCTTGATCACTTTATTATTGTCAGTTATAGCCTTCAATTTATTTGCTGCAATATTAACTAAGATATTTTCTGAATGTTAGCATACATGACATTTGTTGTTGTTATTTCAATTAAAATGGAAGTCAATTTTTAGTCAAACTGGCAACCAGCTAGTTTTACTTAAATGGATTCTGAAATGAGATTTGGTTTAGGGAAAGTTTATTTGGCAGAGAGTACTCTTTCTGTGTTACTTTCATCAGAGTTTTGTGACTCCCTACTTAAAAAAGTTAATAACCATTGAACAAATAAGTAACTATCATGGCTTGCCATGACTGTCCTCAAGTCTTTTAAGGTTGCCTTGATCTATGATTACGAGTAAAAAACCACCCAAACTGTGAGTAAATCTGTCTAAAATTTCTAGGAAATGTACTGGGCTGTCAAAGAAGTATCTTGCATGGCTCACTTCTGCTTTTCACTTTGACAGAAATTTGAGGGTTGTGTTATTTCAAGTGATATGTTTTGCTGGCTTTTATTTGGAGAACAGAACTTAGAACTTACAGGCAACACTTTGGCATTGTCTTTTGCAAATTCCTTCCAGTCTTCCACAGAGTAATGTTTGTGAATTGCTGTCAAAAGTTTGTGCTGAAAAACCATTTGCAAAGTATTTGTTAATGTGATAAATTTGAGCAGGAAGAGGGAAGGGGGGTCTAATTCAAAGATTTCCTACATCCTACTTAAAAATTACCCAGCCCTCTACACAAAAATTTTCACAGTTAAATGGGAGCTAAGAGAGAACTCCTGATACCATTTATATATTTGACAAATGAAGGCCAATTACACTCTAGGATTACATAAAAATAGGAATATTTACTTTTTCCATTTCTTTTTTCCCTATGAGATAAGTCTAGTTGTACGATTTTGGTATCCAATAACACTGCTTTTCAGTTTTCTAATCTTGAAATTTGGTTTTCCTTTTTGTGGCTACCACCTCCCATAGCCACACATGTTATTGAAATGAGTGAGTGATGGTAACAATGGAACTTCACCCCATTCTGACCCAATGTCACTTAGTTTGTTCCATAGTATCTTTGTAGTTCAACATCTTCACTAGAGATTATTGGGTGCATTACACACTAAAGAAAGAAGTAAGCCCTTTGAAACAAATCATTTTGTGCCTATAAATCAAAGAAGTAATTTTTTTGGTTCTTGCTGTGCCACTAGAGAAGACAACAGAAGAGGATAAGCATCTTGCAATCATTTTAGGATAGTGCTTGATTGTGGACAAAACTTCTCCTTCCAGAAATAATATCACACCTATTAAGGTATTATCTTAATAGGACTGTGATCAGCACATCATGAAAACTTTGAAGAAATTTTTTTCTTTGAAATTAGAACATTTTACAGTTTAAATCAGTTACCTATGCCCAAAAGAGCCACTAAATTTGGGAAGCAAGCAAGCTGCAAAATATGATACTTTCAGTTTACAGATTAACCCTATTCAATGGAATGATAGATGGGTGGAATGGCAGAATATCCTAAAACATGGAATGACAGAGTTCCCAGCTTCATCAATTTATCTAAATATTCTGAGCTATTGTTCAGATGTAAGAAATTTATAATCCCTCATGCTTTTAGAGGATGGCAATGATTTTGTTCCAGTTTCTGATCAGAACTGCCCCCTTCCTTTTTCAAAGGGGAGCCCAAATTAACCCTTTACATCCTAACATCAGTATGCATATTCTCCATACTATTCTCTATAGATTTCCTAAAGTGCTGACAAGGAGAATTTGTTGATCAATCAAGAGAATATTTAGTTGGCGATCATTTCCTTTATTCTCATGACCTTACTGTGTGATGCAGGGGTTATACTGTTGGGAGAAATAGGATGCTAGTCACTCTCAGTGGTTAAAGGATTAAGGGTTTTGTATTTAAACCTTATGATCCCCAACATACCTCTGCCAAGGCTACAGCCATATCAAATGTACCAATGGTGTCCATGTTTGCACTAATGATTGGCACAACATCCTCAGGCAGTCCCTTCTTTGCATACTTAAAGTGAAAGTGTCTTGCCAGCACAACCTATTATTGCAACAAACAAATTTACATCATTTAAAATTCCAGGGTTTAATCATCTCACAGATCTTTGTTTCAAGAACATTTTTAAATATGATATCTATATATATTTTTTCTGAAATGTTCCATCACAGTTTCAGTTCACTTACTACCAATACAGCACAACAGATGACAGAGAAACTAGTGCCTTTTAATTTATGGAAAGCAGCAATACAGATGAGATAATTCCCTTTGTTGCTGGTTTTTCAGAGCATCAATGTGGGATGGAAAAAAATGCTATTGGTACCAACACATCGTTTTTCTGCAAAGACTTGTTCTGTTAAAAGCAAATTAAATCTAGCAAATTTATATCTTAATAAAACTTAACTTCTACTCTACCCAACAATTTCCCACCTTCAGGTTCAAAGCCTGATGAGTTGACCTCCCTATTGTATGCAAACATTAATAATTGATTCTAGAGAAATCCAGAGGAAACAGCTCAAAAGCTCAGATCCCAGATGTAGGATAATTACAAAAGAAATTAAATATCCTGGGTAACTTTAGAACATGACTGCAAGAGCTGGCATGCAGACATTACCAAATATAAAATGTGAGATGGCACATACAGAGTTAGAAGTGCAAAATTCAATCAATTAATCTTTTTAGCAATTACAGAGCTTGTCAGATTACAAGTTGTACTTTTTCCCATCTCATACCATGAGGTTAAGTCTGCACTCAACCCAAAGGTCCACCCAGCCAGAGCTGAACCTGGTTTCCATATCACATGAAGTGACTAGGAGTATTACTACTCCCTCCCTTGATGGGGTGCTAGTCCATCCCAAGGTTACCCTCCTACATTTCATCAGGCTTCCCTGACACTTTGCTTGTACCCATTTATTCTTCTGAGTGGAGAGAGACACTGTGAGAGCATAGTGTCTTGCCCTAGAACACAACACATGGACTGGCCAGGTCTTGAACCCAGACCTCTTGACCCAGAGTCCAGTACACTGACCATTAGACCACCACATTTCTGACTTATACAATGGGTTGGAGATGGTTTCCTAAAATTGCCTATCAAATAGAGGATGGTTTTCAAGGCCTGGAGTGCGAAACAGGGAATACAATCCTGCGGGTTTGCTTTGGACTAGACACAATAAAAGGGGGTGTGAAGGTGGTGAATTCCAGTCCACACATGACGCATTAACAATTATTTCAATCTTATCATGAAAATCTGTTTAACTATTGTAAAATTTGTCAAAATATTGTACAACCTGTCAAACTACTGTACACCAGTTAACCGGGCTGGTCCATTTTCCGAGATCAGTCAAGGCCCATGAGAAGAGGCCCTTCATTTCCCCGCCTCCCACCCCATCACAATGACTGTAATCCAAAATTTTAATGAAAATTCACCCTGAACATTTCAAAAATTTTAAAATTATTGGGCATTGCAGGGTTCTGCTGCCATGTGTGAAAGGAGTAGTAACAATTTCTTCTTCGTTTGGAAGAGGAAGTTAACGCTGGCTCATGCTGAACCCAGCCGTGCAAAGCAGTAGGGAAGATTTTCCTCAGCTGTGTCTTTAATGACCCCTCCACTATTGCTCATCTACAAAATATTTTAAATATGAGTTGCACACTTTAAAAGCATGCCAACTCACGAGACAACACATCGACCACACAAATACACCTCCCAGGGCTCCATAACCAGTTGAGTAGAAAGAGGGCACAGCAAATTTAGAGGGCATGAAAAGTTTCCTTTTCCAATGCAACTTACGTCTGCACGACTTCGGATAGTGCTTCGTTTGGGTCGAATCAATACATCTTTAAAATCCAACCTGATGCTGTGATCTAGATGAGGCATTTTCATAAACAGAAAGAACGTTTCACGGACCACTTGTTCGTCTGTACGATTTAGGAAAAATGGCGGGACCACAGTCAAAATATGTCACGTGATTTGTAATGTCTCAATTTTATTATATTAGCCTCGATTCTTGGTTGATAGCATCGATCTGAAAAGCGACAGAGATCAAAAATATTTTGCATCAAAACACCACTAGCTTGGAAATAGCGAAGTATGTTTTAGCTCAGTGAAACTCAACGAGATTATAGGTTTAAGGAGGAATAATTTTTGGAAGTTTCACTTACACTTTTAAGCAACCAATCGCTTGGGTCGTTATTTTGAACAAAGGTTTAAGCGCGTGCGTTCACTTTTGGCGCGCAAGTTCAACGGAGGCTGCGCAACATGGCCGATGGCACTTATGAGGTAAGTATGGCAAGTTCTCATTTAAAATTTCGATATATCGTGTCTTCCATATCGACCCATCTTAGAATAACATTTGTTATACGGGCATTGATATCTAGAGATTTATCGGAAATGATCCTTAGTGGATAGTAAGGCACCTGTTTCCTTGTATTTTGAATTCTTCCAAGTTCATTCATTTGTTGTAAACGAATTTTCGTTTGAGAGGGAAAAACTTCCACGTGGATGAATTGGTGCTCAAAAAAACGTTTTCTTTTTCACTTTCGCTTCGTTTATTCAGGTGATTGTGCAAAGTTATGTAAAGTAAGATTTCCAGTTGTAGTTTCCGAAATTGATAACATTGCACATCGTTAAATGTCTTTGTTTCCCATGGTCTGAATGAATTTCGCGTGTGTAATTTTCTTTTGATTGCTTTTAGCTCAACTTTTACCATGCCATGTCACATAGAGGAAAAGCATCGGATTTATTCAATTATATCTAAAATCACGCTATAGAAGGAAACATTGTACATAAATCAAGGAAACGAGATGTTCATTTCTTGTACACGTTGCCTTATTTGTTTAGGTTGACAAGGTAATAGGAAGACGAAGAACACAATCTGGAAAGGAAGAATTTCTGGTTCACTGGAAAAATTACGACTCTCTTTATAGCACTTGGGAACCCATTGAGAATTTAAGTCCTTGCCTTCACACCGTAACAGAGTTTATGGCCAAAGCATTTCCAATGCCAGGTAAATATTAACAAGATTTATCATGTACCCTGTTTGCTGTGTTGTTTTGGGGTCCCTCTACAGATCTTGTAGCGGTACCTGATAGTTAATTTTCTGTAAATATTGGTGACTTTCATGATGAGTGTGCTCTTGTTTAAAAAGTCTGTGTTGAACCTCTTGAGAATGATACATGATCAACATTGTAGTATTTAGGTGCAAAAAAAAACAAGGTCTAGAAGAAACTTCTTTCACTTTCAACTCAAAGTTAAGTAAACAGATAACAGATATGATAGAAATTATCAACTAGAACTAAGTTAAGATAAATGAAAAACTTGTGCTGAGAAATATCTTGTCTTAGATCTTTAGGATGGGAACATTTCTTTCATCCAGCATGATATTAATTTGTTTTGGATCATAACTTAATCACCTACTTACTCATCTCTGAGATCACAAGGTGTGAAAAAAAGTAAAAATTTTTTAAAAGCGTGTGTCATGCATAAACACAATTTTTTGCTAGGAATAAATGCTGCCTTTGTTACTCATTTGGAGTCTAAACATCCAGAGATGCGACAGCTAAGAAAGGTCACTGATATTGATAAGAGAAAGCTTAGAAGTCTTCAAAACAAGGAAATGGTTGATGAGATTTTGAAAGTCAAAAATATGAGCCAAGAACTTAAAAAATATCAAAGAGGACGTGGAAGAGGAAGAAAAAGATCACAGCTCAGTGATCCATGTGAAGTGTTCACCCAAGAAGCCAAAAAGCTTCGACCAGGGCCACACAATGGACAGATCATTGATCAAACTGTTTTCTCTGGACTTGCTTGCAAAAGTCCTAGAGGAGCTTCTCCTAAGAAAGGAGAAAAGAAGTCCCCAGGAAAGAGAGGAAAGAACGGTTTGACTTGCTCTCTCATGGATGGTCTTGATGATGATGAAGTGTTAAGGTTGACCCGTACAACACGGACACATGGTGTACTGGATGAGTGCGTGTCTGTCCTTAAAGAAGGGAGAATATGGAAAATAACTTTGTGCAGTGAAAGAAAGAAAAATGCCCTAACAACAGAGGTGGGTTATGTTACAACTTATTGATGGAACAAAGCTAGTCACCTGAACAGTTTGGTTTGACAAAATCTGCATTCGAGGTTTAGCGGCAAAATCTACATGTAAGAAAAAAGTTAGGAAGTTTTCTGGTAACTTCCAAATGTTTTAGAAAAAGCTATGAGCTTGATTATTTTCTCAGTTTAGTAAAGAGCAGGAAAGAAAACAACAGGATTTTTCTGATATAAAAAATGTCCTCTAGTTCTACCCAAAAAGTAATTTTAGAGTAGATTGCTGGATAAGTATACTAGCCAAAAGGCTCATTTTGATTATCTCAGTCAGTGTTTAGATTTATTTAAATGTATTTCTCCTAGTTAGGAACCAGGTCACAATGTTTGTTTGACTTTCATTTTGTTGTTTTTTTTTTTGGTTGTTGTTTCACTCTTAAGCAGAGATTGGGAAGGCTAAACAAGCCTATGAGCCTATGAGCCTATGGCCCTTGGCTTTCAAAAGTTATGGGCCATTTCTAAAAAGTATGGGCTATTGTAGAAGAAAAAGTATCAGGCTATTGCAGTGATGGGTTGGGCTTGAAGAAAAGACTCATGGGTATTTTTGCTGGGGAGGTCACTTTGATGGTGTGTATCACACGCAGTTTCTTAAAGTTTACATTATAATGAAATAGTTTAATTCAGGTGTCACTTAAGTGAAACAAACTCAACACCTGTCCACTTCAGGAGTAAAGCTACCACTGCACTTTGCAGCACTGTCTTTTGAACATGTCACTATCCTTACTCTATTGAAACAATCCTGTTTATTTAATTGTAAACTGATCACTGTGCAGACTCTATTTAATCCAGGGCTCTAATTAAAAAATGATTACCTTTAAAAAAAATTTTAGTCACCCCCTTTCTCCCCCCCCATACCCACCCCCCAACTCATATTGGTGGAAGGACATTTCATGTTATACTACATGAAATTTAGTGAGCAGAACAATATGTTTGTAAGACTTTAATTTGCTTAATTGGCATGTAAGCTCGCTTGCTGGTTAAAAGATTGTATAAGTTAAGTAAAAGAATACTAAAAGACTCTGTTGTCTGGTAGCAGAAAAAGTTCACTACAAAGTTACTCAGACCAGGTAGCAAGTCATATTCAATGAAATCAGTTTGACTAGATTGCTGTCAATTTTTAGGTGTTTGTGTATCTGGAAGTTATGGAATAGCGTGAGAGAGAAAGAGAAATGAGATACAGGTGTTTGTTTGTTTCAAAATTCAACCAAATATCAATAACTTTTTCGGGATTTTTGTTTTAAATCTGGTGGTTGCCAGTCTGCAACTTTTGTCAAAATTTTTGTGACAGGTATATTTTCACTCCCCTTGCCCTTGGTTCTTCTTAGGCCCAATGGGTAGTTTTTTTATACTTACAATATGACCATGGCCTTCCCAATCCCTGTTTAAGCATAGTCATAAACAGAAAAAAGGGGCTCCTTTTAGGTTTTATTGTAGTTTAAACCTTTTGGTCTATTACAACCAATTCTTAACCTTTGGCACATGAAGGACTTATAATGTCTGAAACCACAATAAGGTAAAGCTGTGTAACTAATAGCCAGCCCTTTATCTTTATCTTTAATACATTTTATGCAAAAACATGCATAAAATAAAATAAAATGAAAAAAATTTCACATTTTCAATGATTTGGTGTAAGTCCTGAATAAACACAAGGTTTGATACATTTTCATCAACATCTTCATCCTCATCCAATGCATGCTCTAAAGATAGATATTGGAAAATATCCTGCTGTACCAACAACATTGGTTTGTGTCTTTTATTTTCCAATCCTTAGATGTGTGATCAGCTTGCTGCCTTTCTTCATGAAGCATCAAAAGACGATGTTGTCAGTGTTGTCATACTGACAGGTGCAGGGAACAGTTTCTGTAGTGGTCTGGATTACCAGCATCTAATAACAACACATAATCGACAGGAAGCAAAAAGAATGGTTGAGAAATTCAAGTAAGGAATGATGAAAATATAAGGGGATATCTCAAGGGGTAAGGACTGGGGGTTAAGGGTGAGGAATGGGGTTGAAAGGATGAGGGGGCCTGGATGTGTACCACGAAAGTGCAAGAAACACAATGGAGAATGTAATTTAATTCAAAAACACGTACAAAGTTTCTATTCTATACAAGAGTAGATAAAAGTCATTACTGAGTGCTTATGAACACCAACTTACACATTAGTGTGTGTCTTTTAAAATATGTTCATAAAATAATTCAAATAGTATGTGCGCTCTGATTGGCCGTAAAACCATTTTACATGAGCATATGTAAACACGGTTTTCGTTCCTCCTTCATTAGTAATTTTATAAAATAACACATGCAAAGTTTTTGACTCGATAAGCTAGAAACCACTCTGCTTTGCGTCGTGGTTTCCTACGCTTATCTCGTGTTCTCCCAACCTCCTGCATGTTTACATCAGGCTATGTAAACACGGAAACCATTTTACATTTCTTCAATATGAATCAGCCACATCCTCTGTGTGGACAGAAGCAGTGTTGTCCCTTATTTTAAGCATAACAGGTAAAATAAATTTTCAAACCGGTAAAGGAGTCCTTCCACCTGTTGAATTTTCAAGAATTCCAAGAAATTTTAAACAGTAGTAAGAGGTAATACAGGTGGTAAATTGTACTGGTTACTGCCTGAAAAGGAGAACACTGCAGAAGGAAGTGATTGCTCCAGGCTTTGACTCTTGAGTGGAATAACATTTGGCTTCTAAACTTACAGAATTCTGAGAGTGGTGAGAGGGTGGAAAAGTAGAGGTGTTATGTATCTTATGTAGGTTACATTAAATCTTTTGCTTTGAAGCATTTGTGTGTGCCTGTGTGGTATATAAATCTTCACAGCCATGCCAGCCTTACTACTTATTCTTAGTAGAAGCAGTTTAGTCAGGGGTATAGTCTATTATGGAGCATTCCAATTTTTTTTTCTTCTACAGACTATTGGTAGAACTGTTGATCAGTTTCCCAAAGGTTCTTGTAGCTGCTGTAAATGGCATTGCGTTAGGATTTGGTACAGCACTCCTCAGTTTGTGCGACATAGTGTATGCCAGCAACAAGGTTTGTCAAATATAACCCACATTGTTTTTTTAGAGTCTTGAAGCCTTGTATTTTTCATTTTTTAACATTATTTTAGTTTAGAGTTGAAACAGTTGTAGTTTAATTTTTCCTGGTGTTAGGGGCCCTTGCCACTGTCTCATTGCTGCAGTACACGGTTACCACACAAAATAATTTTTCATACTTACAGTAAACTGTTTTCAATAGAATATTTTAAAAAATGATTATTTAATTAAAGCCAGTCTTTCTAACTGTATTTTTTCTTTTATTTCAGGCAACTTTGCAGACATGTTTTGCCAAATGGGGTCATCCACCAATTGGTTGCTCGTCTTCACTTTTATCCTCCCTACTGGGAAAAACTGGGGTAGGTGCTTTAACTTGATCAGCAAAACCAATAAAAAAATTCTGCAACTTTAATCTGTATGATTTTTTTAGATGTACAAAAATTACTCTTGTAAGTGGAGTTCAGATCTTTAAATTCTCTAAACTTTTCATATTGTCCTTCAGTTGGATTTGAAATAACAAAAAAAATTCCAGTGAGGTCTTTAGCTACTTCAAAATTATAATAAGTTTCCGAGCTTTGGCTGATATAAGGTATCGTTCTTCCCTGGTGATGCTGGTTATTGTCAAAAGCTTATACACATATTTTTTATTTTTACAGTAGCTTAAAGCCTTGCTGGAAACTATTATATCATTTCGATTCTCTTTTTCCAAGTTCAAGGTACATAGAACAGTAAACTCTCACAATGAAGGCAGACAATAAGGTTTTTTTTTTATTTTATCTGGTTATTTATTCAGTTATTGTGTACTACAACTTTTTCTAATCAGCTCTGTTTCTTGCAGGGACTGTCAATGCTGTTATTGAATCAAAAGATGACTTCCACCCAAGCATGGGAAAAGGGACTTGTGATGGAAGTTTTTAAACCAGATAATTTCTTGGAACAGGTTGACAACAGAGTTAAAGTAATGGCTGCTATGTCAAATAAGGTAAATACTTAAGTTATCTGCCATATAAAGTGGAACCAATGAGCAGATGACCCAGCTTTTATTTTCAATTATTTTCAAGAACTTTACATTGTATTGAGATGATATCCCCTTCACAATTTACCAGGGTTCAAAATTAGCTTCATTATAGGGGTTCCAAGTGATGACTGAATATTATTTTTCCAGTCCCTGAAATTGAAATATGTAAGGTTTTAATTAAAGAAGTTTTTCACATAAAATGTGTTCCTACTTGTCACAAATAACTAGTATGGTCTGCACTCGAGATTGCAACAGACATCAGCACCAGTGGGACTTAAATTTTCTAGCTGGCAACTGAAATTTCTGGTCTAGTCTCCACACCTCAAGTGGAAAGCTATAATACCCTTACCTTTTTGAGTCCCAAAGAGGAGCAAAACTTCAGAACTTCGAATTTTTGTTGTTAGGGGCTGTACAAACCCTTACTTCAAGGAAATCATTGATGAACATCAAAACCATAAGTCACATACTGTGACCTAGTGAGACAATTACAATAAACACCTGCCGTTCTCTCAACCAAAATAATGTAGTACCAACTGTGGAATGGCTCTCATGCAAGCTTTCATGGGCAATCTTTCAGCTTGGCCAGGAATGTACCATGTATGTTCAATGGTTTACATGGCATTTTTTTGTCAAAATAGCCCAAACTCTTTTCAACCAAGATGTGCCACTTTTGTTGGGCCAAGAAAGAAAATTTAAGGAATAAAACTTCAAGGATAAAGCTTTAATTAAGATGATTTATATTATGATTTGTAAATATATATACCAGACCTTGTTATGGGCCTTTTTCCAAGTGTCCTTTAGCAAAATAAAATGAATAACAAAATTTTGTAGCTTTGGATGGATTCTTGATATCTATGGTCAGTGGCTCTTAATCACCTTTTTTATTTAACAAATTGGGTTACTTGTCCCCTTCTGATTTTTGTTCAGTTTTGAAAGTTCTCAAAGGTTACCAAATCTAACTTGATTATTACTCTTTACAGATTCTACAGGACACAAAATCTCTCATCAAGCATTCCTACCAAGAGACACTTAGTGATGCCAACAATGAAGAGTGTAAATTATTTCTAAAATATCTTGGAGATGATAAAGTGTTGGACACTTTGAAAACAAACTGGCTTCCAGATGTTGTTATTACTTGATTTTATTATTATCATCATTAATATTATTATTGTTTTGAGGATGTAAGTTTAAGATAATGAGATAATGTTGCATTTGCTGTAAACTTTAAGGCACTACAGTGTTCCACTCCCTATGAAGATGAATGCTACCCTCTTTTTTAACTGCTTTTGTCAAACTTTTTAATATTAGTTTTTATTAAAGTTTTTTATTTCTACCCTTTTCCACCTTAAATACATCTTCTGAGTGATATTCTTTTTTCAGTTACTTCTGGTTTACAGTCAGTTAATGATATAATAATTGCAGACCCACTGTCCACTGACACTTTATTAACATCCACTACATGTCAGGGTACTTACCCTTAACATTGTGCTTTCTCACAAAATAAACAGTCTTTGGATTGTTTGTAATAGAGACCTTAAGCAAACAACCATGGCAACAGCAACAAAAGCATGGCCAAACAAAAGATTCAATGAGGACACAAGTAGCTCACTGTGTACATTTTAAAATTTTATTGATTTCCTATCCATCCTCTGAAACAACAACATAAATCACCAAAATTTGCTTGGGGTAAGAATGGAAACTCTAATTGCAAATAAAACCCTGCTCACTTTTCCTATGGCGAATATGATGTCTCTCACTGTTAGAGAGGGTAATCACATCCACCATCCATTTAGTTGACATTTCATCAGCATTGCCACTCAGATTGTTTAAGATCCCTAAAGATTTCTGTGGATTAACTCTCGTGTTAACAAGTTACCTCTAAGCACAATCATCCGACAACTGAAGTACATACCCTTGTACATTTAATTTTTAAAAAAATTTTATTTGTTTTTATTTGTGGAAATTTAAGATGCAGGTTTTGCATTAGTTTTGAAAGAATAAATAAACATTACACTGGTAACTCACAATTTTTACTCCCTTAGTAAGGAAGGAAATTTGTGAGGCACCTCTGATATTGAATGCTTGGGCAGTGAATTCCTAACCATAAAGGAACATGTATTTTTTTTTATATGGAAAAAATCCTCTCTGATATATATTTCTGATTCATTTTTTTCTTGATAGTCTTATCCAATGGTCAAGTTTTGTTATTGTTACAATCATTATCATGTAAAGCCAGATTAAATCGTAATGCCTGGGTGGGATGTTAATGTTTTTAACCAGTATATGATACAGACTTCTTTTGTTATGTCTGTGAAGGGTTGCTTCTTTTATCACATTTGGTACTGTTTTCATGACTGGTTTTAAAAATCTGGGACTTTTAGTAAATATTGTAACACGTTCAAAGTATATTTTATTTAAAATACTATTTGATAATTTCTAAATTGAGAAACATATCTTGCTTTTTGAGTCTACAGTATTCCAATTGATAGTATGGTTACAGCATCAAAAGTAGAGATGATGAACTAAGTTAGTAAAGAAGGTTTTTTAAATTAGGTATAAAATGAGGTGTCAAAAAGAGAATAAACCGTTTCTTTTTTGTTTCAATTCATAAATCTATCTTCAGTGTTATAAATTTATCTGAAACACCTCACTTTCTGAAGAAGATTTAAATTGCATTTACTTGCAAGAATTGTGTGTTTTCACCATAGTGTCTATCCTCGTATTTTTAACTAGAAGTTGTTCAGATTGTGTTCAATTATTTTTTTCATCCCTAAGATGACATTATAAATTCTCTGTGTTGTTTGCTCTGAATTTCTTTGAATTTTAGCTCAGAATTTTGGTGTTTGGTCAAGCAGATATCTGTAAATGATAAATACTGTTTTTCTTATCACGTTTCTGCTTAACAGTGCATTATATTGTAAGCAGGAACAACTTATTGAACACCTCTGGGAGTGAAAGGGTTTCCTTCCTTTTTCTTTTTTTCGGGAGGGGTGGAGGTTACCTTAGATATATAATTTCCAGTTTTTAAGTAGACACAGTCATTTTGTTACTGTAACATGCATTTAGATGAGATTAAAAGATTAGGTTGGTTCAAATGTTAGGATGCACAGGAATTGTAATTACTTAGCTTTTCAAACCAGGATTGAACAAAGTTTTGAATAGTTTCTTATGTGTTGAAAAATAAAAAAAAGGTATTTAGACCTAAAAATATCACGGGAAATTAAAGGGAAAAAGGCAGGGATGAGTCTCTGCTATTATTCCTAAGCTGCAACAAGAGCTTAATTCCAGGTTGAAATCTTTGTGATCTTTCTCTTCTTATTCTTTTTACCTAAATAATTCCTCTCTGTTCCCGTTATCTGTCTTCTTTTGTTTAATTAGTAGTTTATTTTGGCCCTCAATGTCTTCTGATTTCATAAACGTGGGATCAAAAACACTTTAAATGCCCCACTGGATCAAGTTTGGCCAAAGTACAAATCCCCCTCTTACATGACTTTCTCTTTGGTCTGATTATTTTAAAAACAAAATGTAGCCGTTTTTAACAAAACTGCGTCCTACAAAATCCTCAATTAAGCTAAACCTTTTATCTGGACAATTTTTGTGAACAGGCTAAGGAGGGCCGAAAGTGAACAGTGGAATGAGATTTATTATTCATTACTTCAGCCCTTATTATAGAGAAAGCCTGAAGCCCACTGATACGTAAAACCAGGGTTTGGGTTAGACTTCGTTTAAATAATAAATGGCCCTTTGAGTCCAACTACTGAGGCTCAATGTATCACAACAGCTATCACGACAGATATCCGTTTAAAAAATTTAATTTTACACAGATAAGTGTGATGGTTCTGGATTTATTAAAGGTAAGTTAAATTATCAACTGTAGGTTAATGTTATTGGTTCGTTTATAAAAAAAAGTTTGACATCCTTTGTTCTTAATTAACATCTTCATTGATTCATTTTTCGACCCGGTTCAAATTATCTCCCTGCTTTGAGCGCTTTGCAAATTTAGTTTGCTTTCATTTACGTTTCGAATTATTGGATTGTAATTGTCACTGAGCTGGTTACCTTACAGTTATAATTTCTTTTTGATTTTAATTGGAACTGGTGAAGCCCAAAGACTAAGCTTACACTTCGACTGACTCTTCCTTAGTAACTTATGTGCGTCTTGCTTACCTGCTTTTGTGATGTTTTCATTGAGTGAGAGGTTTAACGTGCGTAGCTGACATTTGTTGTTGATGGCTTCAGCCAAGTGCTGTGCTCCAATGTCTGAGATGTTGTTTCTTATGAGGTTTAACGTGCGTAGCTGACAGTTGTTAATGGCTTCACTGAGCCAAGTGCTGTGCCCCAGTGTCTGTTATTTCATTGTATGAGAGGTCTAACGTGCGTAGCTGACAGTTGTTGTTGTTGATGGCTTCAGCCAAGTGCCGTGCTCCGATGTCTGAGATGTTGCTGAATAAGAGGTTTAACGTGCGTAGCTGACAGTTGTTGTTGATGATGGCTTCAGCTAAATACTTGGCTGCTTCATCTGTCAATTGATTTCTTGTGAGGTTTCACCCGCCCAGTTAAGATGCCCTGCATTTTAACCATTTACAAATCTCAAAACAGCCTAGTGGACCATGTTATTGAAACTCAAATCTAAATGTGAAATTTGTTGAACATCAACTATATTTACTAACGAAGAGGAATCCACAGCTGTGAGGTGACAATTATTAAAATTTACACAATTAAAGTTCATTAGTTGAAGTTTTCTCTGTGCTTTTAACCTCATTCTACTATTTTCGTTTATACATTTAATCAATGTCAATGCTAAATCTCGTTCGTCTTTAGTCGGCCAGCAGGTCATTTTCCTTTTCTCTTCATTCCCTGTCCACTGTTCGTTGTAGTATTCGCTTTCTTTTTTTTCAGTTTTCACAGGAAGAAGGTCACTGATAATTTCGCTTGGTAGGTGTTTTTTATCCTCCATTAACCTGCCAGAAACTGAAAACCCAGCTGCCATTTGCCGTTCTTGATGTTCTCGAAAACAAATTTCCTTAATTTTTTCAAGTATTCATGTTGTTAAGTGCCTCGCAGCGAAAAACTCTTGCATTGTTAGATGAATGAAACAGAATTGTCGTTCACTAGTTTGAAGCGCACTAGTTTGGCGGTCAGGTAAGCGGTGAAAAAGCGGGCTGTCTTCCATTCCGCGTACTTCATTTCCTCCATGGATCAGCTTTCCTTCTTTGATTCCTTCAAACGCCACTCTTGCCAGATTCTTGAATTTCTTTTCCACATCCGGGGGTAAATAATCTGATTCAAAATCTTCGCGAGTGAAACATTTATCGCAGAAGTCTTTCGTGCTTTTGACATAAAACACTTTCACTGCAATCTTGTAAATCGTTGTTAATTTGAAGGGCAGGGTAACACCCGCTGCAGCGGGACTTTCGAACTGCAGTATTTGTAACAGACTTGTGGACATAATTAAGCTGTTTACCGGGACATAACAGAGCGAAAGCAAATTCATGTTGCTGCTGATGCGGTGCAATAGTGTTTCGCCCACTTTCTTTCCACCTCCAGCGAATTTGTAGACATATTCTTCAACTTGTTCTGATGAAAATCCAAGAATCTCATAAGCTTTGACAAACGAAAGGTGTCTCAAGCCCGACAAAGCCGTAGATCTCGTTGTGGTTAACACTGAAGCCCCTTCAAGAAGTTTCTTGGTCACAAACCACTGATAAAGGATTTGGAGTGGTTATTTATCATGATCTTCCACTTCTGGTGATGAGGTGGGCGCCTCGGCTATGTTTTCGTCACGTTTGAATTCGTCGAATCCGTCAAAAAGTATGAGAACACCGTCAGAGTTCTTTTGGAGGTGCGTCCAGACTTTGTCATCCATGTGACGTGTAGGGAAATACTCGAACTGAATCAACAGTTCCCTGAGGCTAAGGTTGTCGGCCGAATTGAATCTTCTGAACTCTACCAAGAAAGCAACATCAAAATGGATTTTGGCACCCAATGTCGCGTTGAAAACTTCAGTCCAATGCCCAGTCTCTGAGAAGTTTGGTACAATAAAATGTCTTGCCGATTCCGGGTCGACCGACGATTAAAACTTCCTTATTTTCAACATTCACAAGGTCTTCCGGGCTTTTCGGTGGTGAGTTTTTCAGGAAAGTCATACGTTTCTCTGTTCTTAATAACCACATTATTGGTAAAAATCCCATCGAGAGTCAAACGTTTAGCTGTTGTGCCGTCGCCTGGATCACCTAAAAAAGGTGATTGGAGTTCTAAAGGTCTTTGGGTCTCTTGAATAATTATTTTCTTTATGTGTTTCACGAATTTTTAAAACTTTAATTTTTGGTTTTGGTTGAGACTTATTAGATGGGATTTTAGAAAGTTTGAGTCTTGCATGAAACTCCTTTCAATGTATGCCCGTGAAAAAAGGTAGACGGTTTCGACCAGAATGCCAGAGACAAGAGTTTCATTCACCACAAGGACAGTGTACATCTAGAAGGTTTTCTTTTCCGCTCGTTAATTGTGACAGTCAAGTAAAGTAGAGTTTAGAGTGGTTACAGTCAAACTTAGAGGAAAAGTTTAAAGGATGAGGCACCTGAGTTTTTAGGATGATGAAAATAACTCCAAAAACAAGTCTTATCGATAGTTGACAGGACTAAGCGATAAGAAGTTTATTTCCAGTTGATGACGCAGTCTCTTGGTCGAGCAGTTGATCGAGTTTGGGTCTTATCATGATTTGGGAGTAAATAGCACATACAAGTGCAATAAAGACTAAATTGAGGATTACGAAGCCATAGACAGGAAAACCGAATTTGTTGTACTGCTTCATATATTTCTCGCAACATTTTCCACGGACGATGTCGACGTTTTCACTCTTCGCTCCGCTACAGCGGAAATCAATCCTGGACTCGCTGTTTTCCATGTCGAAGAATATGGCGAAGAAGATGACACTGATAAGGACCAAAAAAAAAAAACACTGCCACATGGTGAATTCTGTTGAAAGTTTTTGGCTCCAGATATTCTAAAACCTTTTCAATTGATACTGTTGGTACGTGTCACTCACTTTGTTAAGATGCTGATCAGCTCTAGAGCTTGAATAAACATTTAATGCCTCTTTGGTGTATTTATAGAGCATGATAGTACTTTCATTTGATTGGGTTTTTGGAAACTTTCATTGGTCGAAAAGGCCATGGAGAATTTATGCATGTTATTGTTCTACATAAGAAACAGTTGTCAGAAACTGAGACGGATATTGATATCTATATAAGGCAATATACGGGACCTCGTTTCTTTCCACCCCCTCCCCCACGTGCTCATTCTCCCCCTTCCTCTTCTCCTTTTCTGTTAATGTCGCTGCTGAGGCCCTGAAGAGAGACTGATTATACCGATCTACCTTGTTTTTAAGGTGAAGACTAAATTCTGAGTTGCTAGGTATGGACATTTGATCTGGATGGTAATTGTTTGGAAGGGAAATTGTGACCTTTGGCTTATTCAAGTTACGATTGGTTGAGGTTTTGCATCTGATTATTTACGAGGGTGGTGTGAGTTTTCCAAACTAATACCAAAGCGGCTTAGTGAAGCAAAACTAATGCAAATCAAATTATTCTCGACTGCGTCGTGAAAATACTGCCCTGTTTCGATCAATGTTCTCATCTTATCACGATTACGGTTGGTGTCAGGGTCTCGAAATACGTAGGCACGTCCTTTGTTCTTTAGTGGAGTCTCCTTGCATTTCTGAACCAAAAACTCACCGATTACTTGCTCAACTTTAAACAAAGAGATCATCTATTCGAAAATGTATACAAAAAGATCAGACAAACAGCTTCCTAAGAGCTACCATCACCCTGAAAACCATGTGATCCTTCAAAAATCCTTCACCCATATCACCCCCCTCCTTTTTACAGGTGATAAAAATTGTCACTAAAATTGTCTTTAGACCCTGTTTAAGCTGGGCGCGTACCTGTACAGTTGTTAAAGAGAATATGTCAGGGAAACGATAGCGAAATTTGAATCATTGGGTTAGGGTTTGGGAAAAAGGGTTAGGGGCCTAGAACAAAGCGCAAATCTATTCAGATCGGGCTGATTCGACGAGGCAAAAAAATTAATTATACGGCCAAGCTCCGTTCAAGCGTATCAATCAATCTTTTTCTCGTTAGATTTGAGAGATGATGCGTTTGGCAATTTTGTTTTTTTGCATTTTCGTTCAAATGAGAAATCAACTCTAGTTTTAAGATTTTTCTATCATTAATGTAACAACCCTCTTGAAAGTTTGAGCATAACCTGAAATGCAAGTCAATTCTACGCAACTCAAGCAGTTATTTCCTTCCGCGGTCAAATTTTTTATCCGACGAGTGAAAATTTTATAGTCCCTTTATGAGTGTTGTCCTTGTTAGTTTGAGCTCACTTTTTTGTTTGCAATTTTGAAAAAAGGTGTGAGTTAAGTTTTTCATAGCTTCCATTCAATCCTTTTTTCACCACAACACTTGTTTCTTTGTGCCTCTGGGTTTTCTGATGTTAATGCCTCAGTCCATTTCGTGTTTTAAACCAGGATGCCTACTGTCCCTGCAACGCGCTCGTTTGGTCTTCATGCGCGAATAAATACAGGTAAACTGCCTGAAGTAAGTAAGTGATACAAGAACGCCGACAATTTTCAGTTTCAACAATTTCATTTAATTACTTTTCTTTGAATGAACATATTACCAGTAAAATAAGATCAATAACTATTGACTGATTAACGATTGAATTATTTGTGAAGAGCGAATTTAACATTTAATAAATCCTTAACATCGGCCAGTGTGATAAACGTCCCACGCTTCTATCACGTGACAGTTTGTTTGTTTCGTTGCCACTTGATTAATCTCCTTCGCAGTCCTTTTGCTTCAGTGATATCCCCCCCTTCCTTCCCTCGAAACAAAATCCGCCGCGAATAAACACTTGATTGGGTGATAGAAAGAAACAATAAAAATTTAACCTCTGCAGTTCACCGTGTTTTAGTTCGATAAAGCCCTAAGTCAAATGCGGCAAGGAAATGGAAGCTGAGCTACAATTTGGACTTTCTCTGCATGAAAGCCATAACGGCCTGCATACACTCTTCTGAAAGCCAGCGTTCTTCAAGTAAAGCGCACTCCTTTTCGTTGGCTTCATGTAACAAATCGCGGAATGAATCACGTATTAACTGCTTGGACAACAGCAGAGACTGTAAAGTGAACAAAAAAAACAAAAAAAAAAAAAGAACGAATCACCTTTTGAAGGATAGTGTAAAACATTGATTGTTCATCTAAAATAATGTTTAACTTAAAGCCCCGACCGTCTACAGATAAATATAAATGATCATGATCATGATAAATAAAATATGGGAAAACTCCTCTCCTGCATTCACCACTATGATAACATGTTACAATAACACTTGAGTAAGGCAGGATGCCTTTTATTATTTTCAGGCTGAAGGGAATACACATAAGAACACCGAAGTTTTACTCTCAGGCTTCTTTCAACAATCTATTGAGAGAAGCCATATGGATAAGATTATCCAAAAGAGATTACAAATCACCCCCTTCCCCCCCCCCCCCACTCCCCCTCCTTTGACCAGCATGTCTCCAAATGCTATAACGACTCCATTGTAGAGGGCACCCTGCTGTGAAATTCTACAATGCAATTTTTTACCTTAGGGGGCAGCTTGGCCATTGCTTGTATTCTGTTCTGAACTTCTTCTGTGAACTTGTCGTGGGGGAAAACATCTGTGACCAACCCACAATCTCTTGCTTCAACTGCTGTCAGTTTGCGTCCAGCAAGCAACATTTCATTGGACTAAAGAAGAATAATAATTCATGGTGTTATTTCATAAATTACGACAATAACTTGAAATATGCTCTATAACTCAACAAGTTATACTAAGGTTGCAACAGAAATTAGAGGCAAGTCAATGTACCTTTGCAGGTCCCATTATCCTAGGGAACATAAATGAGGAACATCCCTCAGGGCTTTGTCCCAGCTCCATAAAAGGTGTGTGAAATGTAGCTTTGTCTGATGCATAGATTAAGTCAAACAGGCCCATGACTGTTACTGATATCCCCACAGCAGGTCCATTGACTGCAGCAATCAGAGGCTTAGGGAAGTCTATGAAGTGTTGTACAAAGTTCCTGTCATAATGGTAACAACAAAAAGTAATACTTGATTTGCATGTACAAGTAAGATTAGTGTGTAGTAAGATAAGTAAATATGTATTGCATCAATGGAAGACAATTAAGGTCTAATTTCACAATTATTTGAAGGTGACTGAAAAAAAATATTCCAATGTAGATGGTAAGATGTCTATTCTGACTAATTAAAACAATCAGTGGATAGCAAAGATTGAGAAATGAATTTTTAACTGCTTTGAACTGTTTTTAACTGCCTCAGCCCCTCTGAGGGAGAACCAACCCTGGTTCTTCTGGAGAACACTGGTAGCCCACAGATAGACAAATGATTGGGGAATCTGTGATACAGGAAAAGACGTTGAACTGCTAACATACTTTAATACTTTCCGTGCATCATTTGCCATCTTTTGAGGACCCTCAGGCGGAATTCTGGTAAAGTTTCCCAGGTCATTTCCACTGCAGTAATATTCTCCAGATCCAGTCAACACAGCTACCACACAAGCATCATTTTTCCCAGCTTCATCCAAAGCAGTCATTAATTCTTGGTACATCTTTTTAAGATAATAGCAAAAGAAGTTGTCATAGTTAATTAACTAAGCACACACATATGGATAATCAGAGTATGGAGTCTTGTCCATGAACACAACACACTGGCTGCTGTCTCTCAAACCCCACCCTCTTCACCCAGAGTACAATGATTAGGCCACTATTACTCCAGGTGATACTCAGATAACACAGAATATTTTACGAAATAATTGTGAAAACCCAAATTAAATAAATACAAAATTTATAGAAGGTCCTGGATCATGCCTGTAGTGTGTTTACCAACAGTCCAGAAAACAGTAGAGACAAGATCAAGATGGCCATATGTATTCTAAAACTTTGAACAGTTGTACAATTCAAATATGGGAAACTGATTGTATGAGATTCGTGTACAACAAAACCCAAAGACAAAAATCTAAGAATGCCCAGCTAGAGAAATGAAAATGTCTCCAGCCAACTACGTTAAGGTATCTGGGCAACAAGACTGAGATATTGATTGTTATCAACAGTAGTCAAACATAACTTAATTTTAGCAGGAAATTTTCCCTTTGGTTCTGAAAAGTTTACATAGAATTTTGTGGTTGTGTCATTGTCTAGCACTTATTAATTTATGAGAACTGTCCACAATAGTGCTGCAATGGTGCAAAAGTATGAAATACTCTAACAAATAAATCAGGAATTGTAATTTCTCTCCTAAAATTTAAAAAACTTCTCAAAATTTATTTCTGTGATGAATGAAATGTAACATATATTGTATGTGTATATTGTAATTTGTGTTGTGGGTTTATTTTATGTTTTCCATATTTCTATACTTATTTTTATTGAATTTAGATTGTTAACACAGGCTAAACAGGGTCAGCCTGTTTAAATACTGCCAATAAATAAAGATTGAAAAAAAAGGAATAAACAAAATAAGATGCACCTCCCAGGTTATGGCATTATATTTTGTAGGCCTGTTCATTTTTATTGTCAGCATTCCATTCTCCAATGTCACCACTAGTTCTTTGTATTTACTCTCCACCTCAACTGATGGGTTATTCTGAGGATTTGGAGACTTTAAATCTTCATCAGTTGTGCCAAATTGTGCTGAAATATTCAAACAAAATAGTTTATACATCTGTCCAGAGCAAAGGAATAAAAATCTGATTCCCCCAACACAATTTTACCATCAAATATTTCCCATTTTGCTGTATGATGCTTTGGTGACTGAGAGAACTTTATGGAGAGCTAGGCATTATACTACGTTTTATAATGTCTACAACTGGTACAAGGAGAAGCAACATAATGATGCATCCTGTGTCAGGAAAAAAGGATTCATAAATCTAACCCTGATTAGGGTAATGAAATTTTAAAACATTTGACTATCACTGTGGCATAAAGAAAAAGGACAGAATTACAACTCTAGAACAATCCAATTTTGTGGGTTAAGATGCTGAATATTTGGAGCACAATATAAAAAAGGTCATCAAAAAGACACCAAAATAGTAAATTTTGAAATAAAAAAAATAAATATTTTACCTGCAAGGTCATTAACATAATCTACATACTTCTGTTGTGCATCAGCCTGAAAATAAAGTCAATGGAAATAGAATAAATAACACAGCCACTGAGCTAGATAAAAAAAAAAAACTTTGACAGGTAAAAATAATGTCATCCACAAAATGAAAGTGTGGACGATATACTTAATGTAGCAGTAGCTGCCTAAGCTGAGTTTTTTCAATTATGCTATTTTTGTCATGGATGTGTCCCTATATGACAATTCTTGTTTAGTCCTGTCAACATAAAGTGAGACTTGAGTGAACATAACCTCCATAAAAGTAGTTTTCTGGAAATCCATTTAACAAACTATCAATTAATTAATATACTGGAACAGTTGAAATGCTTTGACATTGTTGATTCATTTCAAATATAGACTTTTGATCAAGGGAAATT